TGGTTTCTGTTTGGGGTTTGGTTTTGTTTGTTTGTTGTGGTTGTTTTTAAAGTCATACTCCCTAAAAAGCTGTTAAAATGTTCTTACACTACACTAAAACCACCTAAACCCAAAAAAACCACCTACACACACACACACCCTCCCTCCCCCCAAAAAGGCAAAGCCTTAATATTCTCTTACTGCTACTTCAGCTACTAACTGGATTTACTTGGTAGGCTTGGTTCTCCCTCCCTTTAAAAGGAGGGGAAGGGGAAAAAAGGGGAATAATAACAGTTTTATTAGTGTTGTAATTAGAAGGATCACTTGTGTGTAGAGAGCTATTTAACAGTACACAGAAATAGCCTTAACATTTCAGAAATTCCTAAAATGGGATCTCAAATGCAAGAAAACGAAAATTTTTGCAATTTTTTGATATATCATTTTCAAGCCTCCTAACATTTAAAGGTTAAGCTAAAATTACCTCTCCAGAAGCAAATTAAGAGGAAGTATGTGCTAAAGGCTCCACCCAAGACAATACTCCCTCTCCAGACTAAACAGATCCCTCTCCAGACTAAACAGACAACAACCAGCCAGCCTACTTCCACCTTCACAACCAGCAGTCTCAGCACAGGTTTCTACAGAAATACAGGATTTCACATTCCCTCCCCAATAATAAAGAACACATGATTAAGGAAATGCTTATGCATCTTAAAACAAATAAACTGAATTAGCATATGAAATAGACTTGGTTTTGAAACATGTTTCTCAGTTTGCTGTGAAAGACAAAGAAGGTAATGACCTTTCTATATGCAATGTCTGGTCATTATAGGGACTAGAGGTTTAGCGTGAAACTAAGGGGCACACTGAGAACAAATTCAGACATGATTCCAAATGCATGAACAGTCTCTGCCTTTGTTCTGATAGGGAAACTATGTGGCTCGTTGCCAAAAATAAAGATATAAACCAACAATAAACACAGTGCTTTTGAGTTTGACATCTAGAAGTCAGTGCAAGTCAAATATTCCTCCACAGTCCTGTAACAGGGCCTTCCTTTGGTGGTAAGGAAGCAGCCACCTCAGAAGTGACTCCTTCAGAAGCCAATTCTGCTATGATTTGGGAAATTCAGAGACCCTAGAGCTGCAGTATCCTTCTTCATTGCTCCTGCCTATGTTTATTCCCCATGTTTTCTGAAGGACATGGTCAGTCCATGCTGAAGCACCAAGATACGGACTAGGCTAGGGATACACTGGAGCAGGAACACATGCATGAGAACAGGAGAAAATCCATTTTCCCCATAATGGAGTAATGGGAAAAATGGCACAAATAGGTTAGCTGAAATACTGCCAGAAGGTTCCTGCCTGTCTATTGCCATTAATTTTCATTTTACAGCAAAAGCTATCCAAAAGCATCTGGTATTACTAACATACCCAATACAGATTTAAATATTCTGAGTACAGAAGATATAAATATGATTGAGATCATCCAATGCATACTGCTTTCAAGATTAAATAGTCCTCACGGGCAAAGAATTTTAAATGGTTACAGCTAAGTGAAGATCAGTGAAAGACTGCCCTGTTTCTGTTTAGACTGAAATCTAGTGTCAAAAGTTGGCTGTCTTTACAGGAGCCATGTGTAGAAGCTTACTGTCATCTTAAAAACCCAAATGGTCCTATTCGAGTGTCTAACAGTTTGTTTAGACGTGTAAACAGCAGTTGCTATGAAATAGTTTAAACCTGACTTACCAGAAGGGTTTATTGTTAAGTTTATTGAACATGACCAAGAATGGAAGTTCAACAAATCCTGTTTCTCCCTCCTACTAATTTAAACCTGCCAGCAAATATTGAAGTACTATTTTACTGCAATTCCAGAATACTCTTTTCAGAATTTGTATTCCTGTGAATACAGCAGATTTCAGAGACCATTAGACAATAAAATATCTCCTCACATGAGATGCTATGAAAAAATAAATCATGGACACAAACAGATTATGCATGTAGAAGTAGATGGCCAGTTCAGTCTGCAGGACAACCCAAATGCAATTATATTTTGTCAGCTACTGTTTCTCTTCTGTGGTAAAATACAGATAAGTTTGCTAACAAGTTTGTCATACGTGGAATGAACTGTGCCACAGGTCACAGCACTGAATGTGTTGAATGATTAGCTTTTTAATAGTTAAGAAGTATAATGTCACTGAATTCAAGATCATTGTTGACAGTTACAGGAAAAACAAAGATAAGCCCTAAGAAACCTTAGATGATTTTAAACAGAGCAGTAGATTTTAAAGCTTGCCTATACTTGCTTTAAATAATCATAGATTGTTTTAAGTTGAAAGGGCTCGCTGGAGGTCATCCAATTGCATGCAAAGAGCAGGTGCAATGAAATCTTATTTGTCCAGGGCATTGTCCAGATGCAGATTCAACAGTCTATTACAATGCTAGACCACAGAGGAAAGAAAATCTGTATGTTTAGTCAGAATTTCTCACGTTGAAACTGCTACCCACTGTCTCTCAATATTACCACTGTACAGTGACTAGAGTCTGAATCTTTTTTTTTTTTTTTATTTCCTCCCGCTAAGCAGCTGGACACAAATGATACAAAGAGTGTCCTGACGGAGTTCCACTGGAAGTCTTTAATTATTTTAATAGTTACCATTAAATAGTGATCACACCCAGAACAAATATAGCCCTCGAATTTGGTTGCTCAGACCTTCCTGCCCCTTTACAAAGAAGCCCCTGGGGTGCTGCAGTAAGAAGGTAAAAGAGGAATCCATTAAAAAAAAAAATGCAGACGCTCCAGTTGGCATTTCTAGGTCTCCCTCTCACAATATTTATCACCTCAGTCCCACCAAAAGACCAGAGCTGAGTCAGGTCTTGGCTGATTGTCCTTCCTCTGCCTGAGGGGACTCCTGTATCACAGACAGTAAGACACAATACCAGTACTTAGCCTCTATAGAAGATCAGAAGTCATTCTACGGTTCAAA